CAAGCCGAACACGAACACACTTTTTGAGCTCGAAATATAAATGAGCCGAACACGAGCTGTGCTTGGCTCGCTCGTGTTCGGCTCGTTTACACCCCTACTTACCTGAAAAAGTTCACTTACTACGGCTCGTTAAGAAGCTCGTGCTTGGCTCGCTAGTGTTCGGTATCGGAGGTCCACAAATCTCTCGCCTTATTTATCCAACCATCGAGCTTCTAACTCTTTGGAATAAAGCATTTTTGTTTCAATCAAGAATAATCTTTCGATTCATCAAAATTAGCAAATAAAAAGGCCAAACACGCGGCCCGACAGAGAAGGGTTGGGTTTAAGCTTGAATGGAGGGAAAATCATCGAGTCTTTGCTGTCCAAATCTATTAGGAAAAATAAAATGAATAATCAATTGCATGAGAATAATTATTCCTTTCATTATGTTTTATGCTTTTATAATAAATCAAAATTTTATATTCTAAGGAAATTAAATTTTAATTTTTTCATGCAAGTCCATAAACATGAAAACATTTAACATACAAAATTTAAAATTTCATCAAATGAAATTTCAACTAATTAAAGAAATGTGTAGATAAGATCACCAAATACCCGACCTTGTTTAACTGATCGTCAAGCATTCAACTCTTTAAAATAAATATATCACTAATTGAATCTCTTGATATTATAAAGAGTTTTTTTTTTCTATTTTTATTTAAAAAGTTTTTATTATAGTCATTCTTAGATGAGTTGAATTAAGGGTTGTTGGAGATTTCTTTTCACCAAAGCCTTAAAAATGGAATGTTGAAGTCTTGCATAGAAGGTTTTTAGCAGCCATTAAACCATGAAAGATCTTATTACAGTAAGGAAATCACTACCACTACCATTAAGAAGGGTAAATCCCATATGTTAGTTCTGCAAGAATGTTCGTATGATGCTCATAGCTATATGTCAAACTCATTAAGGGGGTTTGGTAGCCCATATTAAGAGCTTTGTTTCTAGTCATAAACTCTTGAGTTCAACATACATCACTTGTATGTGAGTTATGAAAAAAAAGTAAACTAGCCACCATAATTGATTGATGTTTTGATTATATCAAAGAAAATTGAAGAAAAGATGAATAAATTAAATCAATAAAATCATATTTGTCTTTGTTAATAAATCTTGCTCAATTAGACTTAGGGCCAAGTTCAATGATCAACTTGCCCGGTTGATGATAATAGCTGAAGAAGAAATGAAAGAATTACTTTTTCAGAATTAATAACTTAAAAATTCATTGAAATGTTGATGTTGATTTTGACAATCATCTTTGCTAAAGTTAAGATAAAAAAAATTAAGCCATTTTAAACTAGGAAATTCAAAAATTTTGAAGTCCAATCAATTCATTGCTAGATATGATTTTAAGTATCATCCACTTATCAAAAGTGGAGGACTGTCAACTAATGTAATTGTTGCTCCATTCATTTATGCTTTTTTTAATCCTATACCTAAAGAGGGTTCAAAAGCTTGGTTCACTTCATGTAGTTATTAATCTAACAAAGATATGTGCTTATTCTTTATGAAAAAAAAAATATCAAAGTTTCTTTCAATTGGTTTTAATTTAATTATTTTGGAATGATAATGTTATTATGGCAACTTAAAATATGCATAATGTTTGGTTTAAAAAGTAAATTTCTAAAATGAACAAAATCAAAGTTTCTTTCAATTTGTTTTAATTTAATTATTTTTGAAGGATAATGTTACTAATAATAACTCCTTTTGAAAAGGATTACAATTATGGCAACTTAAAATATGCATAATGTTTGGTTTAAAAAGTAAATTTCTAAAATGAACTTATTTAGATGTTTCTCAAAATTTCTATTTTTTCTGCTTATATTTATCCTTTGGCTCAATCAGTACTTTTACATCTTATGCCTCTGTTTAGGTTGAGAGATCCCCCCTCTACTTCCTAGCCATTTTTCTATATACTATTAAATGGTGAGTGCATCAAATAAAATTAATAAATTGTTCCAAAAATAGTATTCACACTTTTCTAAATTGAAGATTTTGTGCTCTAGTGTTGTGTGAGGTCTGTAATATTGTTAATGAAGAAGAACACTATTGCAATGAAGTTTACTTTTAATGTGGTCCTTATTTCCATTATGTAAGAGCTAGTAGATATCATAAATTTTTATTGTAGTAATCTTCACTCAAATTATGTCAAATTCAATCGTGAGTGTCAGTATTTAATCATTTATATGTACCAGAAGAAATACCTTCAAACATAATTTTCTTCCATCAAAGGGTTTAAGGATTGCTATATTATGTTCCTGACAAGATATCAGCCTTCCAAAGTAAAAGACTTAATTAGAAGGATAAATTTCATTTTGTGTAGTGTTTGAGGAGTTGTTGGATTAGATGAAGTTGGTATCATTGTTAGATGAGAATCTTTATTTTCTCTACTTCAAGGAGATATGGTACTTTTAGTTAAGATTACTGCAAAATTCTAAAAGCAGAGAATATGCTTGAATATCCATTCCTTTGTAGATTCCTTCTTTAATTTTTTTTATATTAAACTTTATTTATTAAAAGGTTTGATGGATAAGTAGAGGGAGAGTAAGGAGGTTCTACATTTGATTTAAAATATGATAAGGTTTCAAGGGAAGTCGTTTGGAGAGTTCTAGTGAAGAAAGGTGTTGATATAACTTATATTCAAGTCATTAAAGATATGCATAATAGAGTTGTTACTTGTGTTCAATTAGAAGGATTGACAAAGTATTTTCCTATTTCAGTTGGATTATGTCAGGGATCGTCTTTAAACCCATATATTTTGCTTTAGTTACGAATGTTCTTACTGGAGATTTATAGTAGGATGTACCTTGGTGCATGTTTTTCGTTGATGATATCATTCTTGTGGATAAGATTATATAAAGCATTCAGAAAAAACTTGAATTATAAATATCAACTTTAGAGTCTAAAGACTCGTGTTTGAGTAGATCTAAAACTGAAATGAAATTTTACTAGTAGTAGATCTAGTAGCGATGTTGTAACAATAGGTAATCAAGTCATTATAAGAAGTGAACATTTTAGATATCTCGGGTTTATTGTTCAAAGTGATGGTGATATAGATGGGGATGCTATTAGTACAATTCAAGTTTGATGGTTGAAATGGAGAAATGCATCGGGCCTAAAGTATCACTTAGACTTAAAGAATAATTGACGCAGGGCTTCCTGCACTGACGCAACTTCCCGCGACGGGATTCCCCACTACTAAACCCGACCGGTCATAAAATTCAAGTTGGTTGTCTGAATTGGAGGAATGCATTAGGCCTATTGTGTGATATTTGAATTGGAGGAATGCATTAGGCCTATTGTGTGATACAAAAGTATCTCTTAGATTTAAAGGAAAACTTTATAAGATGGTGGTGAGACTTGCAATGCCTTATGAACTAGAATGCCTTGTGGACTAGAATATTGGCCTTTAAAAGAGAAGCATAAAATAAAGGTAAGTGTTATTGAGATCAGAATGCTTAGGTGGATGAGTGGCTAGA